CCTTCTATGTATATACCCTTACAGCAAACAGAAAGAAAGAGGAATAAGTAATGTGGAAGAACACAGGAAAAACATGAAACTCTTTCAGGTATTCAGAAGCAGGTGAAGTACTGTCCACACGTATGATTTCTAGAATTTTGGCAAATGCCATCCCTTTAACAGTAATCCGTAATAGGGAAACACTGAGCTCCATTTTTAAATACTCTACTTACAGCGATGCTATCAGCGAAGATTTGGATTCAAGTACTTAGATTTTAAACCCTGGAGTCTGAAAAACAAGCAAAACTAAGCTGCTTAGTAGCTCAATTTAATGGGACTTGCACAATCGCGTGTTTGCTATCAGCCGACGAAAGAGACTTGACCTGGAAAAGTTACTGGCACAACTAACCAGCGCAGCCGAGTGCCCTGGAACACACTCAATGGTACAAAGGATACCAGCACTGGTAATTGAAAGTAAACTCTGGCTTTCACGGAGAGGATATTGACTTTGCAAGCCGCAGAGACTCAGATACTTACTCTGTCATCGTTAGTCTCTCCCATGCTTCTATCAAGATTCAGTGGCTGTACAGCACTGGAAGACATGGATATCCTTAGCTGTGCTGTAGGAAAACAGAGACTCCCTGCAACTATCAGTTCTAAACTAGCTTTCCATAACCAGAGCCAATTAAATTAAGCCTCGAATGAATCAACATAGCACAAGTTAAGAAGTGGCAAAGCATGCATGCAGAGACCTGCATTTTCAAGTAGCAAGAACTGGCAGAATCGAGCACAAAGATGCATTTGTAATAAGTTGTGCTCACGCCACAGTTTATCTGTTGCAAAGAAGTTTAAAGTTTGTGAGCACCAGAGTAAAAGAGAAACACAAATGCTTGTAGCGTGCAGCAGCATACAGTCTGAACTCTCACTGCAGCTTATAAACCGAAAACGCTGGTAGAACTTCCTGTTCATTTACTTTAAAAATACAACGCAACCACAATATTATAAGTCTACAAGGCCAACCATTTTACAGTTTGTTACCCTCAACTTTAAAATCTATCTACATATTACATTAATGTTGTTTCAGAGACAATGACTACACAAAAAAAAAAAGCTTTCCGCATCTTTTCTTTTTTGAGAGAAATATCCAAAATATACACAACAGCAGTTTTCTGCATCTCCCCCATAATCTGGGTAAAGCTTATTAACTTTCATATCTTATAGTGCTTTAGCTTAGCTTAGAGAGGTTTGGGAAAAATAGCAACAGTCACGTTAATATTAGTTTTAAAATACTTTAAAAATTAATAAAGAAATTGAGAACAGTTATAATATTCCTCTTCCAGGCCTCAAATCAAACTGTAACTATCTACACCTCAGCTTTCCAGAGCACACACAGCAGTACAGTTAGTACTATTTTCAATATTTTCATTTCTGAACATATTTGAAAATCTAGATTATACCCAGTTCTTTCTTATTTTACTATAGTAACTCAGAAAACAGCATAGGATTTTGTATAATTTTGCTACCTTTACATGGAAAACAGTATGAACTGTCCCCAAAGAAGTTTCAGTGAAAGCCAACAGTGTCGAGTCTGCCTCCATCCCCTCTGTATGGGATCCCTAGTTGAATGCTAGATCACTAAGTAATTCACAGGTCTCTTCAATGTTATTAACACATCAAACTTAAAATCATTAACCAACATACTAACATCAACATACCTAGTTTATACAAACACAAGAAGCAACTCTACCTGTATTTGAGGGTTGTGTTTTTAAGATAGTATCTAATTATACCATCATGTGTGTGAGGAGTTAGAAACCAAAACACCCCCTAAAATTTTTAAAGTCTTCTGAATACAGAATTACCATTAAAATCTGATATTGAATTCACTGGTAGCAAGTGAGGATTCAATATTCCTTTGATGTTCTGGTCAAAAATTTCTTCCTGTATCTTGTCTCTCCTCTAACAGCAAGCCTAAACTGTGCTTTTCTTAGCTTTGGGCTACTGTTTTTTGTTGTGACATCTCCAGAATGAATGCTTTTCATTCCTATTGATACTCCTAAAGGTATTTATGCACTCTGCGTATCATTCAACTGCCATTAGGTATTTGTTTTCTAGACTGCACACCTTTACCACAATATCAAATTGCTATCCATTCAAATCAAAGTCCTCTTCCATAAAACAGTAAGTTAAAGGAAAATGGTCAGCAGCTCAAATATAAGATTTGCATTCTCACCATTTCTTATGCTTAGATCAGAAGATAATTAATAAAATGAGACCTGAGTATGCTTTTCTACAAAAAAAGAGCAGGCCAGTACCCAGACCCTTTTAAAGTATTGGGCCTCTGAACAACCTTTACAAGATCTCATGGCTCACAGTTCTTGTAGTGAGTAAATCTAAATGAAAGTAAGGGATGATACTGGGTGTTTAAACAAAAATAAATCAAAACATTGAGAACTTCATTTGCATTTACCCTGTTTCCCAGAGAACAGTTCCACTAACCATACAGTGCTCAAGGCAGAATCGTCACGAATACCTACAGTAGTTCTTCATTTTGAAATGTTTTTGTCCCCATCTTGTTATAATTTATACTCTAAAAAAAATAATCTTAAATTTTATTCTTTCAGAACTGTACCATTATCATAGCCGAACATAGCTTCCCCTTGTCCAAAAAAAGAAGCTTGGAAAATTTTAACTCTTCAAAGTCACGTGGCACCCAGACGTGTCTCCTTGCAGCCATCCTTCCAATTAGCTTCACCTCCCTGTGTATTCGTAATTCCTCCCTAATTCTGTCCTAACAGACAAGTGTCCCTCTCGATAATAAATTTAGCCAAGAAAGACGAGGAAGTGACTCTGTTAGTAAACTGTGTTATGCTTCATTCAGAACACTGCCGAACTTCTTTGGATTTTAGCAGTTACAATCATAACACCTAGGCACTAGAAGCAAGTGGTACAATTAACTGTGGTGCAATTAACTTGGAAGACTTTTTAGAAATAGAAGACTGCACCAATGACAAACATTTTTCCACTTACTCCATTCTTCAGGCAAAGATTGGATTTATAGGGAAACAGCATTGTTAATGTCAGCCAAGACATCAAAAGCGTGGATTACAGTGAAGTACATTGTTCTTCTGGATGTACATGATCTGCCAAGAAGTCATTTTAAACAGCTGATATTTAAAAGCAGGATGTAGTTAGAAACTGAATTACATGATGTAGATGCACATACTTACTAACCAACCTTAAAATACAAACAGCAAGAAAAAAATAAAACACAAAAAACCCACCTCTCAGGCTTGTCAACAGTTGGATGCAAATCACTGGAGTCTTTTTTTTTTTTTTTTTTAAGTTAGTTCTCAATCAAACCTCATTCTGTCCCCCAGTCTGAGCAGATTACTGAGTCACATCATTCAAAGAAAGCAGGACAAAAATATCACTGAATGCTACATTGAAAATATGCCACAGGCCCTCATTCTGTATTAATCTTACAGCTCCTTACATATTTCACTTCTGTAACTCAGTTGCACCCGTAGCAGTACACCACCTCCATTACAGAGCTATATTACTCAAAATCATTTCCTGAGCACTGAGCCTGCAACACACCAAATCGTCAAGAACAGTTTAGCAAAAACATAACGTCACATATGCACATGACTTTCAACTGATAGAGTTAGCAAGTGCTGGAACCCTGCAGGAAATGCAGTCCTCTAACAAAAAATGGGCTTTTCTGAAAAACATACTCAAAATTGCATGCTTATTCTCCAATTGCCAAACTGCTGGAGATATTCATCCTGCAAGCTACTGCTTTTAAAACTTGCCTACAGTAATTCTGAAACTGAAGCTCATTTATTACATTTTCGTAAATCCAGTTTTTTTTGTTAATGTCTACTGCCAGAGAAATACAGTGAGAGGGATGCAAAGCCCAAGTTTTACATTACAAATATGATTTTAAAACTCATTGGAATATGCAATGTGGAAGCTTAAGCATTCAAATGGATTTTACAGTAATGCTGCCCGATCTGACTGAGCACATCCACCCAGCCATTAGCATGCTTCGTCTTCTCTCAGCCCTCATTTTGGATAAGCGCACACAGAACTTGCTGAAGACAAAGGGCCTAACTTCGGGTCCCCGCACCTCCGAAGCTGTGCGTGGTTCGCAAATAACCTTACCATCGCAAAAACGTTTGCCACACGGCTTTTTAGGAACGTCACAACCAGGCTAAATCAACCAAGTAATAAAAAGCAGCACCAGATCCCTGCACGAGTATCCCTAACAAGCCATTTTGGGGGGATCTGCTCTGCTATTACAGCGACCAAAACCTAGGTGCGTGCAACGCCGCTCGCCATCGTTTCTGTTTAAAGAAAGCAGCAGGAGCTCGGCTTTGCTCCCCGAGGTCAGGAAGCAGCTCTGGAAGGCTGCTGAGCACTCAGGGCCGCGCTCAGCCCACCGAGGAGCCCCCAGCAGCGGGGCAGGAGCGCCCCGAGGGCTGCTCGGGGACCCCAGGCGCTCGGTAAGGCAGAGGGGAGCCCCCAGGAGCCTCCTCTCCTCCTCCTCCCTCAGCGAAAGGGGAAGGAGGGCAGGCAAGCCGCGAGGGGAGACGCAGCGCAGAGCCCCCCCGGCCCTCAGCAGCGGGTACAGGCAGAGGGACCAGCGCTCCCCCCCCCCCCCCCCCCAGCACCGCGGGGCAGAGCCGAGCCGGCTGCCCCTCACCTGGTACATGGCGGCCCAGCTGGCGGCCTGGTCCAGCCGGTGGAACTCCTTCTCCATCTCCATGGCGGGGACGCCGAGCACTGCCCGGCCCGGCCGCCACCACCACCCCCTTGTGCCCCCCAGCAGCAGCACCCCGCTGCCTCCCCGGGCTCCGGGCTGCTGCCGAGGCCGCCGCCGCCTGGCTCGGCACGCCGCTCCTCCCCGCTCCACCGCCGGAACTACGCCGCCCTCCCCGGCGACGCGATGTCCGGGGCGGCCACAACCGCAGCCGGGGGGCTGGGGGGGAGAGAGGGGGCGAGGGTAGACCAGAGCGCCCCAGGGTGGGTCGGGGCGGGCCGCCTCCTCCTCCTTCTCCTCCTCCTCCTCGCCTCAGGGCCGCTGTCCCCGCCGCCCCCTTTCTCCCCCCCGAGGCGACGAGGAGCCAAAAATCAGGCAAAATGAGGCAAAAAGGGGTGATTTCGGGTGCCTCGGCGCTGCCCCGCCAGGTAGGGCGCTCCCCGCAGGGCTGTGAGGGGAGCGGGCAGCGCCCCGGGGTCGTGTGCGGGAGGACGGGCAGGGAGCCCGCCAAAAGTTGTCGCCCCCCCGGGGAAGGGGCTGTGAGGGGGGCAGCCCCTCCGGGCAGGTGGCCGTGCTGGGGGTGCTGAGCCCCGGTGTGCCCTGACCTGGAGGGCTGGAGGCAGCTCTGTGTGTGTTCAGGAGATGGAGGAGTTGTTATTTGCTCTTACACAGGCTGCACGCTGAGGTGGGTGCTGTCAGTTGAAGGAATGAGTGCCATGAGAAAATCAGAATGGATTTCAGTCACCTGTCCTCTGTTCTCGCGTTCCTACTCAGAAATGGCCTTTACTATCCACGTCCTGTCCCAGCAGGTAAACGTTTGCCATCCTACCCCACCCTAAAACACAACACTGAGTAAAGCCTCAGCCTACACGTCTGGTACTGGGGAGCCAACGTGCTCTTCCTGAGGTCAAGACAAGGCGTTCCAAACATATGGACACAGTTATCCCACGCGTAATGCTAGAGCCCGCTTCGTTTCCAACGTGAGGAATTTTACTTCTCATGTCAGCCAACTTCTGTTTATTAGATTACTGTTTCTCAGGCTTTGTGCCCGTGTTGCTTCTGAGGGTTGGTGTAGGCTTGGTGTACCTGGTGTCTCTGCAGCATCAGCGCTGACCCAAAATGAGATAGGGGGTTTGTGTGGTAGATGTTTTTCAAGTGAATGTGCTCACAAATCCCCTAGGCACAATATGGATTTAAGACAGAGTGGTAGGGTTCTCAACAGGCAGGATATATCAATGTCACTGAAGACAGAGGTATTTCGTCCCTTAGCTGCAGCCCTTGCACCACTTGGCTGTTCCTGCTAGCAGAAGCTTTTCCATTGCTTTTCCTAATCATTTGACCGGAGTCTTTGGAAGACTGTGTTTCAGTGTTCAGCCCCAAAGTGCCACCCTACTTGAGCCTTGCTTAATGGGCTACTAAAGGGCAAACGGATGCTCTCTGGGAAGAGAGGACTAGTCAGAGACATGAGCTGCGCAGCCCAGAATTTGGGGAAAGGGTTAATGGGAATGCCAACAGTAAAGGCAAGCTACAGAAAGCAGCTTAATTGGATAAATGGTTTAAGCTAGATAAACAATGAAACATTATTCTCTAATCACGTGCTACAATAGAATGGAGGCATTAGCAGGTGGTATTAAAAAGGTTTTTTTTTGCCTTTCTTACTGCTTTCTCTTGACCTGATTTTTGGAACTAGGCAGATGCAATGTTAGCCCTGTGAATGAAAGTGTTTCTGCTTGTTGAGAGATTGATTTTCAGGGCACTAAAAGCACTGGATAGGGGACTGCATCTTCTCTCCTAATCTGTCTGCTGTGAGGCAGTATCCTTATCTTGAGAACAGGTGGTGAATTTTTAACCTTCTGGACCTGGGGAGATAAAGACAAATTTAGCAACTTTGCTGCTTTCCCTTTTTCCTGTGATTTCAAGGTTAAGAATTATGATCATATCTGGGGAGTCTTGCTGTGTTTCAGTGACTCCATACAGAAAGGTAAGTATTCATATGGTCCCCAGAGAGCAATGCCCTGTGGATGGCCATCGTTCATGCAGGTGTAAACCTGATTGTGCCCAGAACAGGTTGGAGCTTGTGATGCTATAGCTACAGTGCAACTGAATTACTGCAATGTGTAAACATTTTATAAAGGAAGATAGCACAGAGTCTTTTATGCTTATGTCACCTGAACGGGTGTAATAAATATAAGCAGTGCAGGTTCTTCAGTCAGTCAGCAGTATGTTCTGCTAAATGTGTACTCTTGTCACAGCAGTAATTGTCTTGAATGACAAAAACTCATATATTGCCCCGAACAAATTCATATTTTACTGTAGATTTTGCAGAGTAACCCAAAAAATAAGAGATTATAGAAGTTGGTAGTTTTTTACATAAATGCTCAGTCTATCACAGTTGCAATAAGTGTGACCAATAACACTTTACAATGTGTCAGTCAGGTTCAGTGAAAGTTCTTGCTACGCAACTGGAAATTTTGGAGGGGATAGACCACATTGTCAACAGTTGCTTTTGCATATATATGCTTGTACAAAAGAGGTAAAGAACAATTTGCAGCAGTGATATACATTAAGTCATATTTCAGAAAAGCACAGATAACTGGCTTGCATGCTATTGAATCCTTTTGGCTTTATTTTTACATACAATTGCATGCAATGACATCCATAGCAAGCCCCTTCCCCCCCAAACTGGGATGCTCACCATGTACAGTTGGATACTAGTTTATATTAAACAATAAGCTTCAAATCTTTGACATTTTGTACTGCTACAGCAATGTAAAGGGCACATAAGGCCACCTTATGAAAACATCAAGTGCATTCTGTCTGTAGAAGATTCTGGAAGGTTCTAGAATTCCTCCTGCTGAGTTGGGGAGACCGCCCTCCCTTTTTTTTTAAAACAGTTGTAGGGATTAATAGTAATTTTTATATGGTCCCTAATATACGCTAGGCACTAGCTACCCACAAAATAATGTGAAGCAGCCTGGGCTTAAAATGAACATTAACAGAACAATGAAACTAACTCTATTATTTTTATTTCATTTGAAGCCCATAAAATGACATACTCAGCTTAATCACGTTAAAGTCTTTAATTTGCATTTCTGTTAACAATATTCAGCATTTTGAGATGGCCTAGTTTAAAGTGCCCAATGTCATAAATCCCAATTAAACTGTCGGCAAATATGATACATTTTGTTTCTTCACTGTTTGATTTTTGAATACAGCTTTATAGTTGTATTAAGCCAGTTCTAGCAGGCTGTATCTCCAACGTACAACTGGGGAGTATTTATTCACATTCAACACGCTTTATGCAGTTGCCTGTACATCCTTGTTCCATTATTCTATGTTAACATCTCCTTTTATTTAGCAGAAACATAACCTCATGTTAAACAGAGCTCAGACTTTCATCCTCTAATGCATCCTTTTGGTATTACATCTTGGGCATTCCTTTTGTTTTCTCTTTTGTTTCAGTTAAGCATTTGGGAATGTTATTGTGGAAAGTTCGTTTCTGCATTGATTTTGCTCTTGCTAATATTACAACATCACACAAGGCTCTAATGATTCACATAATATCCCTTCAGTACTCTGAAGAACCTGCAGGTTCACAAACAAAATCCAGTGCAACTGGATGTTGTCACGTGGTGTAGACTGTTTTGCTCCTGATTTTGTTCTGATGTTAGCATCAGCTTTACAGTGATAAAATCATTCTTGATTTACGTAACTGTATGCAAGATCAGGATCAAGCCTGGTATCTTCTACCTCTGTGTGTCTTCTATGGTAAAGCTTGCATTTTTTTTAATACTAAGCTTACATACAGAAATTAATATTCAGGCTCAGCTACCTTTAAAGTTCCCTGGAGAGGTAACTGGTTAAGAATTGAACTCGATAAAAATAGTATGGTTAGTGGAGATTCAGGATGAAAGGCTACACTTGGAAGCAGTAGAAACTATGAAATATTCTGTAGTGAGGTGAAAAAGCCAGATCACTTTTTCTTGTAGAAAGAGAGAAGTTAGGATCGACATGGGTTGAGGAGAAAATTACTGCAGTCCCGGTGTTAGGACAGAAAGGAGGCTCAGCTTTTAGTCCTGCTGCTTGTGGGTCTTTAATCTGTGCAAAACAGTTTAAGATAAGGAAGGCTAATGGCTCTCCTCACCAGACTACAGAACCTCATGGTTAGGACACTGCTGTGAAAGCTGCGTTTCCCCAGGCAGAGGCAAGAGCTGAATGCAGGTCTGCCACATCCCAGTATTGCAGGAGATCTAACGGCTGAGGGATTTGTTGAAAGGGGATTCCCACCCACAGCTCCTGTCTGTGTTTTCTGAATATGCACCGCTGATGCTTTGAGTATGTTTTCAGATACCTCAAGGAATGTAAGTGAAGAGAACCTATTTGTGAGTTGAAGGCTTAGACTAAAGAGAAATGCTGTAATTCTGTCAAAAGCTGGGTAATTTTGTGCATGCAAAGATGGTCAGGTAGAGAATTTTATACTCCAGGTTTTAGGCTGATTACTTAAGAGACCTTATAATCTAGTAGAGAATCTGCTGGGCATCTTTTTGATGAGGACAGCTTCTTCCTGAAACCCGTTAGAAGCAGTGGCATTGCTTCACTGCAGAGCAAGCCCTCCTGTGAGTTCTAATCCATGTGAAGTGGTCCACTTGACCTTGCCTCCTAATGAGAACAGATAATACCCTAGAGGCTGGAGTTTGTGCTGAAGAGGAGATAAACAGAAGATAGTGGGAGTACAAGAGTGTGAGCAAGCAAATCACAGTTCATCAGTGTGCAGCAGAAAAATCCATTTGATACATGAATGCCAAAAATCTTTGCTCCAGTGCACTTGAGGACTGTGATCATGGGAGATGGCGTTAAGCCCTAAATGCTACAGAACCACTGTGTTCCCATTGCAGCGAGGCATCTGTAGGCAACAGAGGTAGTGTTGTGTACTGAAGGTCTTGGTAGAAGGAGAGCTATGAAGCAGAGAGGCACATGGGTTCTACAACCTCTAGGTACCCTGTCCTACAGAGAGAATCAGCTCCTCCAGGAATGACAGGGGAAGGGGTCAGCATGGAAGTGGCGTGCATTGCTAGACCTGTGGCTCCCTAATCAGGTAGAGAGCAGTTGTGGCTGTTGGGGTTGGCTCCACGTAGGTTTGTGCATGGACATGGCCTCAGATGGAGCACAACTGGAACGTGGGCGCCTTTACACAGCAGCTTGGGCCAAACGGACCTAGGAGCTGGGCTGGGTCAGGGGCAAAGGAAGCTGCAGACTGGAAAACAAGCATGGATAACAGCGATGAAAAGGATAAAATAAATTCCAATGGCAAATTAAAAATGAAAACGATTTAAAAGCAAAATGGGCTTTCTGACACGTGGTTCACATTCTCATAGAGCTCACTGGGTGACAGCACAGGCATGTTAATATTTTGGAAGGTGCCATCCACTGGCTAAAATGCTTTACGTGCTCCAGCACAGACCTCTGGTTTCAGAGCTGGGGAAGGTCACCGGGTTTTGATCTCATCTCTCATATGGTGGTGGTAGATTTGTCACCAGGGTGTCTGTACGTGTGGAACCAGGGATCAGCTGAGCTGATTTGAGTTTCAGAGGGATGACTTCAGCATGTCGTGACGTGATTCACACACTGACACAGAGCTTGGTGCCCTCCTGCCTTAACCTAACTCGTTGCATGGCTCTTACCAGTTCTCAAACCTTAGTGATTCAACCTGGCCCTGAAATGATTTCTGTTAAAGAGGATTATGAGAGAGAAAAATACTTGTAGCATTAAGAAACACATGCACTAGTCAAAGAAACCGCTTGGTGTCACTCTTTTCCATGGTTCATACTATATAGAGCTAAGGAAATAGCTAATTGTTTGCTTAGTTGGTGTGTCCTTTTGGAGACATTGCTGTGGACAGTTGGGTAGGAGCAGAGCTGGTCGTGTAAGGAAACAAATGTTTTCCTTTCTGAAATGAACTGCTTTCTGTAATGATAATTATATCATACCCCATGTTCTCATTATAATGCCTCTGATTATAAATTTCAGCCTTCTCCTTGGAGAATCTGAATAGTTGTAGCTTATAAACCGTGGGCAAACAGGAAGGAAGGGAAGATGGGTAGGGTGGGAGGGAAAGAACAAGATGCAGAGACTGCAGCACAGCAGCATGTTGTAACTGGTCATTTTTCTGCTCCAAAACAAGTACTGGAACAATTTTTGTAGTCTTTTGTATGGTAACTATGGTCATGTTTTTTCACTTTATGAAAAATATGAAACATAGTTCAAAATTATTGTTGCGCCAGTGCTGCAGGGTCTCATGCATCAGCTGTCCCCTTTTAAATTAGGCTCTGCATGAAAGCAGGATGAAAAGACCACCATTGAGCCATTTTATCAAGTAGTAAGTAAAGTTCTGTTTTTGTTTTTTCCCTTTGTTTTAGGTCTTTAGGCTGTTAGTGTATTTTTTGAAAACTGCTTTAAGAGTTGATGGCAGATTATTAAGAATTGTGTGACTTAACTTTCTACATTGTTACCTTCCATTCTCCGTTGTGAATATGCACTTTTCCTAGTGGTAAATATTTTGGTCTAAAATGCACCTACATGGAAAATCATCCCTTGCGTAACTTGGTTCATTCTGTAAGTTTTTTATCAGTGAATTCTGAACTATTTCCTTCTCAAGAGGAAGCAGTAACATTTTTTTTTTTTTATTTTTAGAAAATATGGTACTATGTAATGATAATTGGGACAGAATAGAATAGGTAGTAGGAATGACTGGTTGGGAGATCTGTTGAGAAGGTCTGTTTTCATGACATTTCCAGTTTTAGCTTGCAGTGTAATGAGGATAAATTAATCTCTGGTTTATGGATTTATATTTTCAGTTGAAGCCAAAGGGTACAATGTGTATTAACTAATGCTGAATTTGACTCTACAGGCTCCATGCTTTGGGATGCCTGTCTCAGTAGAACCAAAGGTCTTAAATATATTCCAGTCAAGAATATGGGCTGAAAAGGGCCACTTGGATCTGGGCTCTGACCCCTACAAATGTGTGCAATCATTTAATAGATGTTTAGTCCTCAAATTACACTCTCCACATACATCCACAGCAGCAAAATATTTCCTAACAGCATATATGAAATTTAAGATCCACCTTGCAAAATACTAGAAGTTGCAAAATCTGCAAAGCATTGCAGGAAAATGGCAGGGGAGATAAAAAAAAAAACCAACACATTACTAGATCCCTGTAATAACGGAGGATTAAGTAACTGAAAATGTTCTGTGATCTCAGGACAGAGCTCTTTTTGCACTTTAGAGACAAAGGCCTATTCCCAAAATAATACTTCTTCAAATCCCCAAAGAATTCCAACATGTATAGGCTGGGACACATTGCATTTTCACCCCAATATATTCTGCTTCAGCTTTTAGCTGGTACTGTCCATTAGAACCTGACAGTGGAAAAGAAAAAAGAAAGGGTTGGATCTTGCTACTTGCTCTGCTGAAAAAAAAAAAGACATATATCCTTCCTTTGTTCTGCATGGTTCAAAGAAATTTGATGAGTTAAGTAGCAAATATGCAAAATGTGTTATGTGGAGCGTGGCAGTATAGGTGATTCTTCATGACTAGCTGCTAGGTTAGCTATCAGGCTTATTCTGTACTACTTGGAAAGAGAAGTCTTGTATGATTGGATAACCTGAATGCTGCCAGCAGGACCAGGATAATAAAAACTGTGCTCACTGCCTCATAAAAGAGAGTGAGAACAACCTTTTCAAAGCACATCGGTTTGCACTAAACTAGCTTTAAGAAATGTGTGTAGAGGAAAGAAGGAATATCTACGTGCTATCTATGTTCCAGCCGTGCATCTGTGTTCCAACCATGCATATTTTGCTGCTTCTGATATTTTTCAGCCTTCGTGGGTTTTGCAGAATGTGTTTAGGGCTAATATTCTATATGGCAGCACTGAGTAGAAGTAGAAATTTGTAAGAAAGCTTCTAAAGAGCATTTTACCACTGGATGGCACTGTAGTCCTTAGTGCTCACAGTAATCACAGCCCTGAATTTTTTTTTTTTTTTTTTTTTTTTTTTTTACAGCTAACAATTTTAGGTCAAGCAACAGCTAATAGGGAAATAGTTACTGGAAAGACTTTTATGGATAATGTGATGTTAATAAAATAAAATTGCACTTGCAGAGCTGGCTTTAATTTCACAGCATTAGATACAAGGAAATCTGTGTTCAAATCATGCCAGGTTGCTTAGTTTTCTAAATCAAAATTTCAAAATGCAATTGATGCTGTTGCATGGTATTCAGGGACTGTGTGCTCTTTACTGGAATGGGAGATGTTATTGTTATGGTTTTTGATTGTAGGATATTTTATCCCAAGGCTTTTTTTATGCTTTAGGCATTGTTTTATATTAATGAAAGAATCATGTTTTCAGCAAGCTTTCTTTAAATAATTCTTTTTCTTTTTCTTTACAACAGGGATGGCATATCTGAATTTGGAATCACCTTCACCTGAATATCCTAGGGCTACAGAATGGGTGAGTGTTTAAGTCTGGCCTTATTGTGGAGATCTTGCAAGCATAAATATCTTTCAAGCTGAAGACAAGTGTTTAAGGAAGTGTCTGTAGTCATTCAAAGTTGTGGCTGCTCTTTAAACATATGCAAGGAAGCATTAACTTAAATTTGGTTTATTGGTACGCCGTTGGTTTAATACTGAGACGTTTATGTCACTGTTATCACTACAACCATAGCATGGCATTCAGTGCAAGCAGGCCAGCTGCAAATTTACCTAAGTTTGCTGTGGCATTTTGCAGTGTGTTCCAATTTCATTCCTGCCAGTACACACAGTCTGCAGCTATGAGAATTATATACATGAACTGCTGACTAGACTTGAAGCTGTATACTCAAAAGCCAAGTGTTTGGCAGCAATATTGACCCAACCTCACCTCCTGTGCCACCTGCTGCTGGTTTCTGTGGCATACCACCCCCTCAATTGTGCCAGCCCAATTATTTATGCAGCTGCACTTGGAAATGGATCTGGGAACTCATCTACTTGAAAAAAGATCCTAGGTTTTCTTCTGGCTAAGTTTTAAGTCAGAGCAGGCCTCCAGTATAGGGAACCATGTGGCTAGACAAAACATGTTTTCTAGAAAAAAGGAGTGCAGTAATGCTGGGGCAGGAAGATTACAGAAGACAAATATCAACACCTCAAGCCACTATTGCCACTAAATACTTCATCTTGAGACACCACAACTAAATCTACAATTTCAGCGATTCACTGAAAATTGTGATTTAAGTTAAGGTCATACTTTAAATGATTCTGTCTGGACCTACTTCCATATACCATCTCCTGATGGCCATGGATATAGCATAGGTCCTGACAAGCATAGATAAACAATTAGGAGCACAGCACAGCTCAATGTGGAGCTTAATATTTATTACAAAACAAACAAACAAAAAACAAACAAACAAACAAAAAAAACAACAACATAAAAAAAGATCACTGTAGCAGCAGAAAATGCCTTGTGTGGAAGGAGTGTTCATAATTCTTTTTATCCAGGAATAGAATGAGTGCCTTCCAGTTTCCTATCAACCTCTAGTGGAGGAAAGTAGTGATATGAAAATAGGAGTATGTCCATTTTAAGAAGTATTGTGAAGCAAGGGTAGCTATTTTTGTCCTGTCCTGTCCTCTAAAGACCAATTGTTTCTGGAGGCATATCTTACTTCTTTTATAGTGTGTGATTTCTAGCATTCTTAATATATTTCCCATAAAGGAAAAGGAGCTCAGATCGGCTCCTCTTTTACTTAGTCCAAGAAAGGCTCAATATAGCTGCTTTAAAAACCGAACACCACATTTGGGATGGCAGTAGGTGGATTTACACATTGTATTCCCCCAGCACTGTAGATAAACAAGTATCTTTCAGCTGAAATATTTTTCCAAGTCAGATGTAATAAAAATTCCAAAAGTGGCCTAGTTCGATAAGCAGGCAAGCCAGATAAATACTGCTGTGAGGGAAAGAAACCTCAGTGCATGGCTGGCCTTGGTCACTACCTGCCAGGAGAAAAGGGACCTATGAAACTTTCTTCTAACGTATTATCAGGACTCTTATCTACACAAACACTTCAGAGTTCAGGAAGAGCAGCCAAAGTCAATTTTTGCTTAGTGTGTTTAAAACAAAAAATAAACAGAAGGGAGAAGTGCGTGTGCAGGAGGAGGTGTTGGGGTGGAGAATGGATGGGGTGGTGGGATTGGGGAGGGAATGTTTTAACCTGCATTGACTCTTCTGAAGTCCTCTTGGAAGTATACACTGTTTTTTGAAATGACAATGACATTGCACAATGCATAATTGGGGTGGTGGAGAGCTGCTGGCTTGTGTCCAGGGGCCAGTGTTCTGTCTGACCTTAACAGGTAGGTGAGACAACGGTATAAATTAAAGAACAGCTTTGTCATTACTGTATGCCAGTTATCTGACTCTACAGTGCCTGAAAAATGCCTTCTGAAATGCATAAAACAGAAACGGGGTTTTCAGGGCGTAGTGTGTTAATATTTTAAAGCACTAAAATAATAAAATATTTGCTGATCCTGCAGTACTCCAGAGTGCCTGAAATCTTGTGGACTCTCACAGTGCGCACTGTCCAGACACAACAAAATCCTTAGAATTTCAGGAATACTTTGTGAACTTACCTGCCTTGCCAGCTGAAAAGAGGCACCTTGGTGTTACTTCTGTCTGGATCTGTCTGGTGATTGAGAGATTAGCTATTCTCTCTTCCCACCCTTAACTGAAACAATGTTTTCAGACCAGCTGTCAAGTCAGCTTAGCCCTGTATTTAAATTGATGTGGTAATATTTCATCTGTAAAATTCTCCTTCAGTTTACTAACACCTTATTTATTGAATGTAATGGCTTATAAAAACTACAGGGGCTAATGCTCTTGGAATAGCTTGCTGTTTGGTGGCCAATCAGCACTGTTTTTCAGAGTTGCACTGATCCAAAGGAAGCTCCAAGAATGACTGTGCCTCAAGAGATGTAATTCCTTCCAATTCTGTAATATCGATGCAAAGTATAAATGGTTTGGCATTATCTTTTATTATGCAGCCTTGGCCCTTTTGTTATGTGCAATCTGCTCTGATATTAAGGAAAAGGGCAAGTTGCAAGTCCCTTGTTTACTACTTCTTCTCTGTTGTGTGAATTAAATAGGGTGATGTAGAGAAATTCATTTCCATGAACAGGATTTCATTAGATTGAGTGGGAATTCAAGAAGGAGTTCTAATCTGATATTGTTTAATGTTGCCTGTGTTCTGATTCTTCGAGCACTGTGTGAAAACTAGGGTTGGGGCAAAACTTGCAGCTTGTGAATTTTCCAATTTGTACTATACACACCAGCTAGAAAAAAAAAAGGTCTTTATATTTAATGAAAGAAAGGAATTATATTAATGTTTGGTTGGGAGAATCTCAAGAGGTAATCTTAGGGATCAGCTAGAGGGATATTTCTTCCAAGTGTCTGTGTGATTCTCAAGCAGAGAGCTACAGAATATATTGGGATTGGAAGGGAGTAGAGTATATTGCCAGAGCTGCTGTGATCAGAGTGCAAGGTATATCAAGGAGTTGGAGGTAAAGATAAGGCTAAGCAAAGCATTTCCGTGCTTTTGCCTATTGCCTTCTCCCAGGCACATCTTCTGTTAGCTCAGCAGCTTGCAGCATTGATCTTCCATGAAAATATCTATGTAGGTATCCCTTTCTTATGATTAGTATGAGAAACACTGAGAAATCACCTGAGGAGAGGAATACTAAGAGCACAAAATGTATTGGAGCAGGGATGATAAGTGTTCAGATGGACTTGAATAGACAGTAAATGGGTGAAGATTCTCTAATACCATCAGACATTCTATTCCAGTGCTTCACTATCATCATTATTAGACATTTCCTTCTTTTATTTTATTTTTTAATTTTTTTTCCAGTGCTAAAAGAGGGGAAGGATTAGCCTGTATGTCTTGAAGAAGTGTATAGTTTACATACCAGTAATGATAAGTGATATTCCAGTAGAATTTTCATGTGCTAATTTTACATATTAAACTGTTTGGCGCAGATATTTAGGGCATCCAAATGCATATGTAAATGTCCATGAGAATGGTTTGCAAACCAATAAGGAAGCTGAATGTGCATGTGGCTGATCACACTGGTAAGCACCTGTAGGAGACGTGGGATGTGAGCACAGTTCTGCCAACTGCACGTGTAGTCAGAATAATGAGAAACCAGTTTATAAGCATTTTGAACTTCTATTTGTACATTTAGCATCTTTAAAAACCAGTTACTTTGTGCCATCAGCCAATAAGAATACCATGTGAATAATTTTTGAGTACTCTGGCTAAAGGATTAAATCATAACCTCTGCTTATTTATCATGAAGGAAGCCCTTCCAGCAGGGGCAAATGCCTATTTTGTAGCTGATAAATTAGGAGGAAATTTAACCGAACCAATTTATTCTGTTTTCTATGAAAAATCTTGTCTGTGAAAACAGAAAAGCACTTACAAAATGTCAACATTTCGCTCCTATCTGCATGCAGATCGATACTGATGGGTCACAGCAACCTCTCAGAGAGCAGGTCTGCGTGACAACCAAAACTAATATGTATCTACCGGTCTCCAAAAAACACACACACAGGCCACCTTTATGCACAGAGTGTCTGCTCCCTACAAGCTGATTTACATCAGAGAGGTCTGAATGATCTTGTTTCAAGATGGCCTCTTTTAACTTTTCATTATAGCAGGAATTTCATCAGTACAGACAGGCATGTTTAATCTTTAAGTAGGTATTCTGCATTGCTTGGTGTTTCACTCTGCTTCTTTGTCAGATGTCTATCTTATATTTAAACATTTTTAAAAGGCACAAATGTAGGAAGAGTTCTCTAATTGCATGTGTAATTACCACCACCGTATGCAGCATACATCTGTTGCTTGGGACAGCATTTGCAAAAGCTATTACCAAAGAAGCTTAAAAGATTTCTGTGGTACGACTGGTCAAGATGCTAGACTGACCCAGGAACATGGTGCACACTGCTGCAGATACATTGCTTAGCAACTCTAAGTAATAAAACTGAGGTGTAGCAAAGCTCCCTTCTGCCTCACTCCTGATTGCCTCACCTCTCATGATTTAACAAACCTGTTTCTGATTTGGGTGCTAGTGCTCTGTCATTGTGCATAGATTTGGAAGTGTATGGGATGTGAAAATACCAGCAATCTGTTTGGAAATTAAGGATTCAGGTACCTAAGTACTATAACTCCTTTTGAAAATCACATACAGTGTTCTGTATGGTGTACAGAGTCTGAATTCAGCTGAGAAATAAATAGTAAAACTTATTTTTTTTTTTCAACACCTTAAAAATAGTGTCTGGTCTTGATGTCATGAAAATAATTCTTACCTAGATTCATAGTCCAGTAATACTGGTCAGATCTAGTGTACACTGTGATTTCTTTTTAGCACCCCTATAATTTAATAAGGAGCCAAGTGAAGGTTGATGGACTGAAGGTAGCTTTAATT